TCTTAACTTTGCTCAGAGGTTGCATATTGCACTGGGTGCTGCAAAGGGAATCCTCTATCTACACACCGAGGCAGATCCTCCTATATTTCACCGTGATGTTAAGGCCACCAACATTCTATTGGACTCCAAGTTCGTAGCGAAGGTGGCTGACTTTGGTCTTTCAAGGCTTGCTCCGGTCCCAGATATTGAAGGAAAATTGCCAGCTCATATATCCACTGTTGTTAAGGGCACCCCAGTAAGTCTCATTATCAATGTACCAAGATCTGCACCCACAATAATCTACTTACTGCTGTTCCATGCCACACAATAGGAAACAGCTGAACATACTTACTCAACTTGTAGTGTGCAAGTTTGGCTCATCGTATCTATCCTGTTTTCTTTTGCCAGGGCTATCTTGATCCAGAATACTTCTTAACTCACAAACTGACAGAAAAAAGCGATGTGTATAGCCTTGGTGTTGTACTGCTTGAACTATTGACCGGGATGAAGCCAATCCAGTTCGGTAAAAACATCGTTAGAGAGGTACAGAGGTTCCCAACCTGATCCATATCTAATGTACAGTTCAATTTAACTGTTTGCAGATGACAAACAGGGTACATGGTCTTACATTTTAGCTTTTGAGAATCTTGTTTGACCGTTCAGTAGTTTTACTAGTGACCTATTTAACCTGATCCTTAATGTAGGTGAACACGGCTTACCGATCCGGAGACATTTCTGGAATCATCGACAGCCGAATGTCCTGGTGCCCTCCGGAGTTCGCCACGAGGTTCCTCTCGCTGGGCCTGAAATGCTGCCAGGACGACACCGACGCGAGGCCTTACATGGCCGAAATCGCCAGGGAACTCGATGCCATCCGGAGCGCTTTGCCCGAGGGAGAAGAGCTCATGTCTGTAACCTCCATGGAGATGAGCTCCTCAGGCACGCTGACCCAATCCACGTCGAACTCCTTGATAACGACCACCGGGGAGCATTTCGATATATCCCACGCCTCCAGCAGCGGCGTCCCTTCCAGAATGGCGATGAATCCTCGCTAGCGTCGCCGCGCCGATGTTCTTCGCTTTTGTAAATGGGTGTGGACAGTAGGCGTGCAAGTGATAGCTTTGTAGAATTAACGCTGGTCCGGCCTGCCCGGCGGTTTCTTCTTCTGTACATGAAGTGGGCGTTGTTGTTGATGATGTGTGTTTGAAGATCAGGGGGTTAACTTATTGTAGGAGGTGTATTTGGTAGACACTGTTGACGAGTGCACGAATGATGAACGCTAACTAATGCTTTTCAGCTATGATCATATCTTGGCTGGAAACTCCCTTCATTTCTCTCTGCTTTTGCGGACTCAAGTGAGGTGTACAACCTCGTCAACCGCGCGCCCAATCATCGGCAACCTTCTCTCGAATCCTACCCGCTTGACCTAATGGCATGTATAATGGTTCTATCTTAAGACTGTCACGTATGATAAATGATGAGGTGGAGGAGAGAGAAATCATAAGAGAAGGCTTGTCTTCTCTTATTTAAGAGAAGACAAGAGATGATCTCTCAGCACAATTTTGTCTCACCATATTTTTAAGAACATTTATAATTATTAAAAATAAGACTAGGAGATGACCCATTGTAGACATGTTTTTTTGTCATCTCTAATTTACATGTAAAACTTAAGATAAGACTATCTTATCAACCATTGTACATGCCCTAAAACCTCTTGAACTGGAAACGTCGTCCGGGAAGGAGGGTATGGCGTGCAGTCAAGAAAGGAGCAATGGTCGGACATAACGGTAGAGTAGACAAGAATCTAGCAGCTTGGGTGCGGCTCCTCCCGGTCCACCATGCATAACAACCGGTCGAGCTTGACCGGCATGGGAGCGCCACGCCCGTTAGACCATGTATAGCGACGACCGTGAAGATACAACTCTTTGAGCTCGCAATCATTTGGGAAGCGGCAAAATCTCCCCATCATGCGGCGGCGAAGGTTATCATCTTTTTTGTCCTCGCCACGCTAGCTAGTTCATACTAAAGTCATCGGAGCCCCGGATATACAATTTGCACCTCTCACATCTCGTCGAGGAAAGCGATCTTGTCCGCGTCCTCCTGCGGGCCGTACATATATGCAAGTCAACCAGCAGTGGTCTCCAGCGGATAACCATCAAAATCAAATCCGTGTCTAAGGCTTCCATAACGAAGACAGGAGAAATATCCGACAAATTGGTTTCCTGGAGACCGCCAGAGATCTTCTCCTCTCCCTCCACCAAGCCCAAGGTTAATTACTGAATTGTGAATTCTCCAAGCTCAAAAGGAACGGAAGAGTAGGTGTGTCATTGTCTTGGACTGATCACAGGCGCCGTACTGAAATGCAAGTGGCGAAAAACAGGAGATGAAGTGTTGGTGTTGCCAACAATTGTTCCTTCGCTGGTCACGCTGAGCTTGCGCAGCCTGTCTCGCTGACTTTGCTAGCCAGTTGTTTTGCCGGGAGACCAGTTAGTAGGGAGCACATGTGGCTGCATCGTCATTGGCTCCTTGCATCCACTGGGTAGACATACGTACTGCCCTACTTTGTTTAAGGCGTGTGCTTCATTCAACGAATTGAAGCAAGTATGATATGAGCGGAGCGGGCTAGATTTATCATGCTTGCCAACTAAACTTGTCGCCCTCGGCAACACAATTTGCCATGAAAAATGTTCGATTTGCCATGGTAAAAAATCTGACGTCAGATTTGTAGTGGAGTCGTAAAATATAGCTGAACTAGCACAATACATGGACAACACTTGTGTTCATAAGGTGAATGTTACGTGTGGTGTGTGTGTGAACGTGTGTGTTTATATCGTCTCAGACGCAACAAAATAGTAAGCCGCGCGAGTAAACTATAGTGATTACTACTAGTATCAACTGTTAAGGCCTTGTTCCTGTTGCCCCCACACCTGTTCGTACTGCGTCCAAGCTCCACTCGGTCGTGCCGCGGACGCCGCAATCGCGAACGGGCGGTCGGGTACAAAAGGTGGACGCCTCCCTCACCCGTAGTCGCCGGCCGTCAGGGAGGAAGCGTCCGCGACCGCGTCCGCATTTGCTCGCCTGCGCCCGAGCTCTGGAGTCGTCTCCGGCCAGGTATCCGCCGGCCGGCTGCTGCTCCTCTCTGCTGGCTGTATCGACCGAGCCTTTTGTGTTGAGTCGAATCGATTCAATTGCTGGGCTTGAGGTGAGTTTCTTCTCCTCTTTCCCTTCTCAATTGTTTCTACGCTAATGTTCTGTTGGGTAAAGAAGAAACTCGTTGATTTTCCGGTCGCTAGTTCACTTCATCACCTTTCTTCCTCTTCTTGTTCTGATTGAAGTTTCTTTCACTCGAATAGGTTATAGTCCTTCCTTTCATCATAGTTTTCTTGGTTCTTTTTTTTGGATTCTCGTGCTTCCCGGTTGATTTCCACCTTCCATTTTCCAAAGGCATCTTTGTCTGTATAAACTGAAAACTGACGTAGTGCCCAATGCTTTGCGGAAACGTGTATGTTACTGCTGTGCATAATTTACCTACTTTTTTGTAGTCATTTACTCTCCAATTTACCTTCTCGCAAAAACAACATAAAAAAACTCCAATTTACCTTGTGCACGGCCTTTAACACGCCCGGTCAAGTCTCGATTGCTGATTTGGACACTGTTAATGTAATTTTTATCATCAGTTCTGGAGAAATGTTTAATACTCCCTCTGCCCTAAATATAATGCTTATTAGAATTTCTAGAATCAAATCTTACAAAATTTTATCAAATTTCTGGAAAAAATTATAGAGTACCAAATCAATGCCATTAGACTGATCATGAATGGTATTTTCATAAACTTGGTCAACATTTGTGTAGCTTGACTTTTGCAAAAAAAAAAATTGTTATTATAAGACGGTGGGAGTAGTAAGTATATTGTGAGTTGACTTACTTTCTCTAATGATTTGATTCTATCTTTTACCCCCTAAGTTTCACATTTGTGTCAGGTCTTATCCCATTTAAAGAAATTCCTCTATTTAACTCCATTTAACCAAACTGCACGCTGTCAGTTTTACCTTTAAAAAAATGTCAATCTGACAAGTCAGACCCACAAATCACTGCTTATGTGGCATTCCTATGTACCCCCTCCGTTTCAAAATAACTGAAGTTCTAGGATTGTCTTAAGTCAAGCTTCATTAAATTAACCAAGTCTATAGAAAAATATACAAACATCTACAAAACCAAATTTACTTCACTAGATTCATTATGAAATGCATTTTCATTAATATCGTAGATCATTGCGGACTTTTCTATACACTTGATCAAACTTCAAAATGTTTGACTTAAGAAAATCATAAAACTTCAATTATTTTGGTGCGGAGGAAGTAGATGGTAGTCCGGTTTGATGGTGGTTGCGTTGACTGACTGCCACTAGCGTGGTAGTCCGGTTTATTCATGGAGAAGTTATTCTTGGAGGTCCGACCCTAGGTTGGTGTATGAATAGGTGTTGTACACTTTTGCTCTATTCGGTAGATCTTAGGTGCATCCGCAACCTGCTATTGCAGCTACCATGGATAGTATGGGCAGTGGACCGCGAAGGATCCCATAGTGTGACTGGGTCAGTTTATGAGTTTTGAGGGATATATGTGTGTGCTGCGGTAGACAAGGGATGCAGCGATGTGTGGTCGTGTAGTGTTCTGAACGCGAGTGGCATCTGGCACCGGTTCGAGGCGACCGGCTCTTGACCGCGTCTGTCTTCTCCAAAGCGGGAGCGACCCAACCTTGCCTTCTCCCCAGAGTTGTTAGACAAACATTACAACCGGTGTTTTGGCCTAGTCTTGGTTTTATACAGTTGAGGAAATTGCACAAATATACAACTTTGGGGGCTGGGGTAGCACAAAACCACAACTCCAGAGGATTTTAGCAGAAAACCACAACTCCAGGACTCGGTAACAAGAAACACAAATTTGTTCTGCCTCATGATTCGACCATGTCCCTGAGATTTGATAAAAAAAAGATGCATTAGTGGTTAATACATTGTAATTAGATCAGTTGTTTGGAATATGACGGAACGAAAGACCAAGGAAAGGAAGAAGAACGCACCAAAATGCAAGTGCTGCACCAAACGCTGGTGGTTGTTTCTTCTTGTAAGTGAATGCAACGAAAAGACCCGGAAATAACGGATAATGAGAAAATTCATTTATAGACATTTCATGCTCATTTCCAAAATTCTGCTTAGTTATTCCCATCAGTTAAGGAGAATTATGACATGTGGGTTCAATCTTAAATGATCAATCTAGGAAATTTTCAGCCAATTTAGCCCATCCATTTTAAAATCTAAACAGCTTTTGTAAGAATGGATCAAGTTTTCAAAAAAAGTACAGCAATTCGAAACATCTTAAATGATCAATCTGGGGAATTTTCAGCCAATTTAGCCCAACCATTACCGAAAAAGGGTTTCCCCCGCTTTGTATTCCAAAGCAAACCACCAAAGTACACATCGCAATGCTGGGGCGAGCAGCACAACAAGCCCAAAGAAAAAGAAGAAGAAGAAATGCCAACAACGGCAGCTCGACAAAGTGCGGATGACCCGCGACCGCTGCGCCCTCCAGAAACAAACCACTACAGCCCAAGGCTCCGAACTACCGCGAACTAAGCAGCACCTCCAAGGGATGCGACGCCGACGACGCTGCTGCCCGAACAAGTCCTTGGGTTTCCCCCGGTATGCGGAGGGAGGTGGGGGATAGCTACTCCCGACGCCCTCCAAGAAGGGATAGTGGCACCCGCTGATGTCACCGCATTGGAGCCGGATGAACCGGCGAGGATTTCTCCCGCACGCCAAACCCCACCAGCCAATCGAAGCCGACCAGCCAAACCACCGCCCAACTATGCACCACGACGGTTGCGCCGTCACCAACACCGTCTCGCTGCGAACACCACCACGAGGCCAAGAAGAGCGGAGAGAAGATCTGAGCGACGGGAGCAGCAGCATCAAGGCCGAGCGGGAGGGAACCACCTCCACCGCCATCGTGCGGGAGGCCCGCGCCTCCGGCACCGTCGCGGTAGCCGTCCGGACACGGCAGCGGGGCATACCAGGCCACCCCGGCCCGGCCAGGCCCGAAACGGGCCCGCTAAGCCCCGCCGGCCACGCTGCAGCAAGCTGGCGTCGACGCTGCCAGCCCCTACCGATCATCGATGCTCGCCACCGCCTCCTGGAGGCCACGCAGCCGCCACGCCTGTCGCCGGCCCGCCCCACCCAGATGGAGCCCGAAGGGCCCAGATC